CATGCCTGCTGCTAATTCACTTCCTCTGAACTCCACGGCAGCCTGAATTCTTGCCCCTTCCCCTCCCTTCTCTCACAAAATGACTTGTAAAGCAGAAACGCTGACTTGCCAACCCTTTCCTACACAATGCATTGCTTGCTACAAGGCTTTGACTCTTTCAGACCAGAGACTGGAACGAGGAGCTGCAGACCACGCGAGAGCTGCCGCGCAAGAACCTGCCCGAGAGGCTGCTGAGAGAACGAGCCATTTTCAAGGTAACTTTGGGATGTGCAGGCAACTCCTCACGCAGCCCCTTCTCTGCTGCCTGTATCACGTCTGGACGCTGCGCCTGGGCTACCCTTTAGAAACTGCAAGAGGAGGATCCCTGTTTGTAAGCTAAGGGGCCTTGTTCTCTCTCACATGTCTGCCTTCTGCTCCCAGCCCCACGGGGAAGAATTGCACTCCTTGACCCCGAGGCAGCTGCTTCTTAGTCCTCTGCTGTTCTCTCTGGTCCAGTCCTCCTGCGAGTGGGTGGGAGGAATGGGGGGGAGGGCACACTTACACCTAAGCCCTCCTCTGCAGAGAGCTAATGAGTCTGAGCTGTGCTGATCCCTGATGTTCTGGCCCCTGGAGCTTGTATCCAAGCCGCTAGCCAGGCTTATGAAAGTAAAAGCCAGGTGACCTGCCTACCTGCTGGAAGGCTGTCGGGAGGAGAGGAGTGAAGGAGAAGTTTGCAGGGAGCTTTGAGTGTGAGGTGCTGGGAGGGTGGGAGCCCTACCTTACCCAGATTTCTCTCCACCTACCTGCAGGTTCACAGCGACTTCACTGCAGCAGCAACAAGAGGTGCTATGGCTGTCATTGATGGCAATGTCATGGCCATCAACCCCAGTGAAGAGACCAAGATGCAGATGTTCATCTGGAACAACATTTTCTTCAGCCTGGGCTTTGACGTCCGTGACCACTACAAGGACTTTGGCGGAGATGTTGCTGCTTACGTAGCTCCTACCAATGATCTCAATGGTGTGCGGACCTATAATGCTGTGGATGTAGAAGGGCTGTACACGCTGGGGACTGTGGTGGTGGATTACAGAGGTTACAGGGTGACAGCTCAGTCTATTATTCCTGGCATCTTGGAACGGGAGCAGGAACAGAGCGTCATCTATGGGTCAATAGACTTTGGCAAGACGGTTGTCTCACACCCCAAGTACCTGGAGCTGCTGGAGAAGACCAGCAGGCCGCTTAAGATCCAAAAGCACAAAGTCCTCAACGACAAGAATGAGGAGGTGGAGCTGTGCTCCTCGGTGGAGTGCAAAGGCATTATTGGCAACGACGGGCGTCACTACATCCTGGACCTGCTCCGCACTTTCCCTCCAGATCTAAACTTCCTGCCTGTTGAAGGGGAGGAGATGCCAGATGAATGTAAGAAAATGGGGTTCCCCAAGCAGCACAGACACAAGCTTTGCTGTCTCCGGCAAGAGCTTGTTGATGCCTTTGTAGAACACAGGTGAGCTGAGTTTCCCCCTTCCTCCACTTGCAGCTGGTAACGGTCCAAGTCAGGACCATGCTGCATTGTCCCAGGGACATCCCAACAGAGCTCCCAGAAGTGGGCAGCTCGTTCCCCCATTGCTTGGCCATGCAGGTGCAATTATAGAAACTTAACGAGAGGTGAAAACAGTAGGGATTTTGACAGGGTTACAGGGAGCCAGGGAAAGAAGGGGTGATTTGCTTTTTAGTGTCCAGATCTGTTTTTGTTGTTTCCTGTCCAAATGTGTAGAAGTTCTTCTTTCCCTGCAGATACCATGTGCACCTGATGGCTAGGGAATAGGAAGGGTTTATGCTGCTTTTTAAGGCTCTCCAGATGTCTTGGATGCTACCTTTTTTCCCTAGAGGCTGAAAAAAATTAGCCTGTGGGAACTGCTGTAGGCACTTTTGTGGTGGGATGTGTTGGTGTTGGCTCGCTCAGTGCAGGCGAGGAAGTGGGAGCTCTGGGAGCAGGACGAGTTGAAGCTGTGTGGTGCAGCCGCACGGTGCTGGTGATGTTAACGCTCCTGCTTCTGATGTGAAGGGCTGCAGGTGCTCTGCTATCACAGATGGACAGAGCCTGTGCTTCGCTTGCCGGGAAGATGAGCCCTCCAGTTGCTGATGGAGGAGCCCTGCCCGCTGAGCAACCAGTTCTGCAGCCAGCGCCCTTCCCAGTTCTGCCACGTGCCTGCAGGCAGGCTTTGCTGCTCCCTGGGAGAGCTTCCAGACCAGCAGCCTGCAGGACCGTGGCCGTAGGGTGCTGCTGCTCCTCCTTGGCTAGCAGAGGCTGGGCCTCTCTCTGCTAAGGTCTCCTGGCAGAGCTGCTGCTGGTTTGTGTTTGACCGGTCCCGTGCATCTGGCAGTGAGAGTCTTCCGGAGCTGTCTGCTGATGCTGCTTGTGGAAAGCAATTTGTAAACAGTGCAAGGAGATTAGTTTCCCATTGTAATGTGTAATGAAAACCCAGGTTTTTTTTTTTCTTTTTGCTTCTTCTGATAAACTAATGTGCACTCCTTCGATTTCTGGCAAGCTCATGAGACGAGGGTGTACATCCTGCCTTTCCACAGGGAAACTGTATGGTCTGTAATACTAATTTTGTGAGGTTTTTCCTCGCAGAGCGGTGGTGACCCTCTTGGATTCTCCTGCTGTGCTGAATTCCTCTTTTCCTTTACTGTAGGTATCTCTTATTCATGAAGCTGGCTGCACTGCAGCTGATGCAGCAGAAAGCCAACAAGCAGGAGAGCTCAGGTGCGCTGGAAAATGGCGCCTCTCCGGAGAACGGTACCGCAGACAGCGAGAAGTCCGAGTCAGAGGATGGTAAAATAGACGATAACGTGACTGGGCTTGATCAGGTGAAAGAGCTTGCTGAGACCATTGCATCTGATGATGGAACAGGTATTTCATCCTCAGCACCAGAAGCAGCCCAGGCCTCCTGCCCTAGCTGGTGGGCTGTGCTGTTGGCAGGAGCTGCGCCAGGCTGGGGGTGGTCGGCGTGGTTATTTGAACAGGACAAGCACTGGCTGCTTCTATCAATGTTTTAGCTCTTTGCATGGAGCTGGTCGCACACAAATGAATTGCCCACCCTGGGGGCCGGTTGGGTAGGTGGGCCAGTGTCTCTGGGTGCAGCAAGCCCATCCACTCCGCTGCAGGAGCGAGAGCCTGGCCAGCGAGCTGGCCTGCAGGGCTGGCAGCCGGGGCCAGGCTGCCAGAGGCTTAGTGCGGGTGGAGCGGAGCAGGCTGTGGCAGGGCTGGGATGTGCGCGATGCACAGACACCTTTGGGAATCCCAGGCTTGGATTTCTGAGTATCTGTGGTTGGGGGGGCGGGGGGGACCAGAGGTTTTCTGGGGCATCTTATATGCTCTTGTTCAGACTTTGCATTTTGCAGCCATCCTCCTTTCCAAACATCTTACAATTGATTGTTTTTATAATGGATTTCTGCAGAATGTGCCATCCTTGCTGCTTTTAGTAACAAAACTTCTAATTTAATAGCTAGGCGTGTCATTTTCTGAAATGCATTCATTTGTATTCTATTTTTCTTCCTGCTCCAGTGGATCCCAAAAGCAGAGAAGTGATTCGAAATGCTTGCAAGGCTGTAGGCTCCATTAGTGACTCATCATTTGACATTCGGTTTAACCCAGATATTTTCTCACCAGGTATGTGTACAAAGAGCTGGGTTTAGTCCTCCTTCAGAGGGGTGCTGTGTCCAGCCAGCTACAGGCAAAAAATTGTGTTCTGTAGCTAAGAATATTGCTGCCTTTTGGCTGGCTGGACATGGTGCAGGATTCTCCGTGAAGCACAAAGATATGGAAAAAAGAAGGAAGTGTAATTGATTGCAATGCTCGAACTGCCAAATGTGGGCAGTAAGCTGTCTCCCACCGCTACGCTCAGGGGTGGGCTGCACGTTGCTGCCAAGAATATTCTTGCAATTCTCCAGCAGCCCAGCTGCTAGAGCACATGAAAAGAAGCAGAGGGAGGGAAAAAATTAAATTCGATCCTAATCTAGTAGTTTACACAAAAAACAACAGTTGTAGTTGAGCGACCAATGTTGCATCCTCAGTGAAGGGCAGGGTTTGTTTTAGTAACATTACAGTGAGCAGGTCACAGTGCCCTTTCAAATGCATGTATCGGTCGCAGGCATTGTATGTAGCTTTCCATGGCTGGAATCAGTATTTTTTATTTGGAAATACAGAAGAAGCTCTCAGAGTGTTTATGGGGGTGAATACCAAGGCTGTATGCATGCAAATTGCAGAGGAATGGCCATGTAGTTGAATTGAGCTTGGAATAAATGTGTCAGAAGGAGCATGTGTTTTGAAACACCCAAGCATCTTCCAAGGCTGGTAAGGATTAGTGCTTTGGCACCAAGTTTGCAGCTAGAACTTAAAACCTTATTTCAATTTTGGTGTGCAAAAGGCTCTGAGTTTCTAGCATTTGCGGTATTTGCTGGTCCATCTGCTGAAACACTCCCACTCCAGTCTAGCCAGTTGACTTGGAAATGTACATAGCGCTTTGGAATAGGTAGAACGGACCAGCTAAATAGCAGAATTTGGGCTTTTAAAAGCTGCGTTAAGAATGAATGAGTGGGCTAGAGCAGAGCAGCTACTAGCCGAGCAGAGCAGCTAATGCTCTTTCCATTGAAGCGTGTTGTAGAGTAGATGAGTTTTTGAAGAAGCGTCTTTAATTCCAGGGAGACAGAATCACTTTAACTTTTTACCTGCTCTTACTGTATGCTTTTTGTATATGACTTGTTTCTTCTTTGAGTTGATGTGGCTTATGTTTTTCTCTTTTACTCTCCTAGGTGTTCGTTTTCCTGAGTCTAGCAAAGAGGAGGTGCAGGATCAGAAGCAGTTGCTGAAGGATGCTGCTGCATTCTTGCTGTCGTGCCAGATCCCAGGTTTGGTAAGGAACTGGGGACCAGCAGTAATGTCCTCTCTGAAAGCTTGCCTCAAGCCTGGCCGCTCTGAGCAAGCGATGACGCGGTGGTACGCCAGCCTCGCCTCCCGAGCAAACGCTGTGTTCTCCTGCTGGCAGCCGAGTTCTGGCACCAGTGGTGAAGTACGGTGAACAGTGCAAGCATCTCTGCTGCAAGCACAAGAGGGGTTTTCCATTTCCCATCTTGCATCATGACACAATTTTCCCACCTCAATCCAACAAAGAATTTTTGGCACTAGTAATTAACAGCTATTGCTAAGAGTTTGGGACAACAAAGACCACGTAAGGCATCCTCCCTAACCTAGGGCATCCTGTACAACTTGCTGTGTTATCTGCCCCTGATTGTGACTCAATTGGTGACTAATAATTTGGAGTCAACTGGGAAACTGTTCTTACTAATACCTATTGTAAAAGCTCCCTCTGTAAGTCTTAAGCATTCTGGATGCTTACCCATGCACCTGGCTAGATAAGGGCTTTTCCCTTCTCAAGACGCTAAATTGACTGCTAATGTGTATGTTACAGCACACACTGTAACTAGGAGGGTAGAACTGATGACCTCCGCTCCAAGAGGTTCAGGAGTTGCTGGTCTACGTGGGAGGGGATTTTCCTTGCTGGAAAGTTTCTTCTGAACTCAATCCACTAGTTTTGTAGTCAGCATAGCCTCTAAGACCAGCTACTCAGTCTTTAAATAAAAAAGGATGGGGAGTGAATCAGAAGAGGTCTTGGTGACTGTTGTTTTACAAGATAGTCGATACGCTAGTATGTAAACCCAAAATGCTGCACAAGCATGTGCGAGGGCAAGTTACAGGCCAGCTGCTGTAAGCAGGCAGTCCTCCATACTCTGCCTATCAGAGAGTAATGGGTGTTACCCCATGACGTGAATTAAGTGACTCTATCAGCACTGCAACACAACTTAAAATGCAAGTGCCATTCCCCCTTATCAGCTAAGTGTGCACATGTGCACAACTCCATGTAGTCTTTGAATTGGAAATATTTTTAGTTAGTGACTTAAAGAAGGCCCTTAGAGAAGGGTTAGCCTGCTAGTTCCACAAGCATTAGTTAAATAAGCCATGCCAAAGGGAAAGCGGTTCTCATTGCCTGAGCCACAGGAGTCCTCAGAGTCCCTGCTCTGCTACCGAGTTCCTGCGTGGCCTCGGGCAAACCGCTGGAAGTCATATGCTGAACTACGCTGAACGCTGTCACCGTCTGCACTGGTCTCCTTGGGCCACTCGAGACGCTGCATGCTCAGCACTTGGTTATAATCCTCCGTGCTGCTCCACGGGGCCTCTGCCTCTGCTTGTTTTGGGAATTGGACGAAGCCTGAGCTGTTTTGCTGTGCCAGTTGATCTCTCCGCACCTCAGTTGCCCAGTGCATATTGGGATTGCATAGTGCCGCTCATTCTGCGCTGAGGCGTAAGAGTAAAAATGGTACAAGTGGCAAGGCTCTTGCACAAACTGCTTCGGGCTGTCTGCTGCAGGTGTTGCCCCACATGTGTAGCGTGGTGGTCTCTGGTATTACAGCACTCTACCCACCCAAACAGCTTTGCTCGGGGTCACTGTCAGCCTTCGGGGCGACCCTGCACCCCAGGTAACAGAGGTGTGTGCGACTGGCCGTCGGGGAACAGCGGCCCTGCTCCCCGTGCCCTCGCAGTGCTGGGCAGGTTGCCATCCCGTTGGCGCTGGGGAAATAGCTCTCCCTCCTGCGCAGGCGGCTCGAGGCGCCCGGGGTTTCCTTTGTGGAAGATCCCAGAGCAGAGGAGACACCAGAGCTGCTGAGGAGTCTCTCCGGGCTGAATGTACCCTTTTTGCTGGCTGTGGTGCCTGTGGCCTGAGGCAGGGAGCACCCAGCAGCCCTGGCTCCGGCTGGTCAGTGCTCTGTACTTAGCAGTTCTTGATGCACTTGTAACTTAAATGTCATCCCTGGAAAGTGCCTTCTCTGTCAGGCAGCACCTTTTTCCCTCCTCTGTCAGATTTTTTTCTTTTGTTTTTAAATTTTCAATTTTTTAAAAATTGAAACTCTTTCCTTCATGTTCGCTCCCTCTAACTGAAGTTTGCATATGCCCTGCAGGTCAAAGATTGCCTGGATCACACGGTGCTCCCGATGGATGGGGCTACCTTAGCAGAGGCCATGCACCAGAGGGGCATCAACATGCGTTATCTAGGCAAAGTGATCAACTTCATCACCAAGACCCCTGGCCGTGCTCAGCTGGATCACATTTTTGTAAGCATCAGGCTTCACTTCAGACTGACAAAACCACCGCTGGCATGATTTGCCCTGTATAGGTTCCAACTTGGCCAATTGTTTTCTCTGTGTAAAAATAAACAGCTTCAAAAATAGAGGGGGAAGGACGTGTAAGTGGTAGATGGGGAGTTTTGCTCCCAAATCTGTAATGGCTTTCATAACGTTAGAGGGTTTGAGTGTCCCTTGGGACAGAGAAGCGCTTCAGGGATTCCCAAGCGTAATAGCAGGTAACACACAGTTGGATTTTAAGCCATGCGTTTTTTTAAGCCTCTGAGATCCATCGGGGCTTTGGATCAAATTGGGAAGTGTTGTGAGCGTGGCTGCCCGCGAGCACGCCGCAGGGCCAGTGCTGTGGTGGCCCCTGGAAGCCCTGTTAGAGCCGTGCCGGGTGGCTGGTGGTCACTGTGCACGCGTGTGCAGAGGGCTCTTCCCTGGCTCCAGGAACGTTGCCAAATGCAAAACGGTTCCGAGTGCAGGGTAAGGACTGGAGAATGTGTCTTCTGCAGATCTTGATAAAAGCCCACTTGTCCTGGTTTCAGCTAAACCATGACACCGCTTCAAAAGCAAAATGTATTTTTCATTGTTACTGCCAACTGACTCTTAATCTCTGTGCTTTATTCCTTTGGGTAGAAAATAGGAATCAGTGAATTGATCACTCGATCGGCTAAACACATCTTCAAGACATACCTCCAGGTATGACCTGCAGTCTAACCTCTTGCCTTGTGTGTCCTCTCTAATGACTTCTTTCCACAAACAGAGAGCTGTTTGAGTCTCTTCTCTCATTAGGCAGTTCACAGGGGTTGCCTAGCAACGGGAAGTACAATCTCATTAGTGCTAGAATAGGTACAGGCCTGTGTGTAAGGGAAAACAAGTTCCCACTTGAAGATAGCTTTCCCAGAGAGTGATCATTCATGCTTTTCTTCCCCAGATTCTCACTCATTATGTTGAAGGCTTTTAAAAGTGAAATCACAGCTTGTTTTCCTTGTAATACCTCTTCCTCTTAAACAGTGTTGCTTTTGCCCTTCTAAGAAGCTTTCTTTAATTGCATGAACACTAGTGCATCCTTATACCTGTCCGTACATAGCATAGCAATACACCTGGCTTTATTCCAGCGTCAAAATCTTCTTTGCGCTTTCTAGTTTCTCTGTCCCAGGCAGCAGCCCGAAATGGAACTATATATTTGTGTGTGTGTAGGTATATACTTCTCTCTTATATCTACATAATTCTGCCTGTGCTAGTTCCACTTGCAAATACTGCCTTCCTCTCCCACTCCTGGAAGATGTTCCTGTTTCTGGTAGGACTGGATTTGTGCGAGGCTCGGGGTCGGAGTAGTGCCTGTGTGATGGCAGGTGTCTTCCATGACTGATTTTTGGTGTCTTGCTGTAGGGCGTGGAGCTGTCGGGTCTGTCAGCAGCCATCAGCCATTTCCTCAATTGCTTTCTAAGCTCCTTTCCAAATCCCATTGCCCATCTTCCAGCTGATGAGCTGGTCTCCAAGAAAAAGAATAAGAAAAGGAAAAACAGGAACCTTGGAAATGCTGATAACACTGCATGGGCCAGCATGACCCCTCAGGAGCTTTGGAAGAATATTTGTTCAGAAGCAAAGAACTACTTTGATTTTAGACTTGAATGGTAAGCAGAGAAAATTACCCTTGCTTGTGCCTGGACTCTCCCCACATGTCCGTAGCTCTTACTGTTCTTTAATAGGACCTGCCTTTTGGACTTGTTTTCTGTTTGAATATGAATTTGTGCTCTTGAGGGAGTTTTACGGGCTTATAATGGAAAGAAATCGGGTGAAGAGCAGCAGGGGGAAGTGTAACTGAAATTTGAAATGAGATGAAACCTATGAGGCAAAGGCAGCTAGGCAAAACAGAGGAGGAAGGGAAACCTCTCCTTAGTGGTGCAGAGGGGAGCAGAAGGCAAGAAGCTGAAGGAGTGTAGTCAAAAGATATTTGTCTATATAGATGATGATTTAGGCTGGAGGGAGCTTGTGTTCCAAAACCAGTGATAGCTTCTCCTGTATGTGAAACAAAGATGGTGAATAAGGCTGCTGGAAGGTGCAGATAGTGAGTGTAAAATGGGAAGTACAAGCAAAGTGGCCCAAGAGAAAACCCATGTCTAGTTGGCTAAATCAGGGACCATCCCTTCACGTCAGGGGCAGCTCACTCTTTACCAAGAGCTGAAGGCATTCAGGCTCTCGCCTAAACTCTGCAGTGAGCTGTGAAGAGAACACACACAGGATTTCAGTCAAAAATACTGTTGTGCAACTCTGTAAGCTTTAATAGGCCATTAGCAACCACTGTAACGTTAGTCACTGGTTTCAGTCAGCGCCTAGCTGTACAGGGACCTGTGCTTCAGATACAGCACAGTGGAGGGATGTCCTTGAGCAGAAACTTAGCCAAGAGCTGAAGCTTGTGCGTGCTTTTTGCAGTGAGAATGCTGACCAAGCAGCTGAAGTGTATAATCTACAGAAAATCACCCTGCTTCGTGAAATCTCCCTCAAAACTGGAGTCCAGGTAAGATCCACGTCTTCCCTCCCTTCGCCATCATGTTCTGTACTGAGAAACATGAGGAGTACGTGCCAACTGCTTTGCAGGGGCTGGCCTTTCAGACAGACAGTGTGAGCCCCTAAAGGACTTTGTGGTGTTAATGTTGGAATACAGGTTCCAGCCCTGGAGAAAGGGATTTCTAATCCAGTTCCCTTTTAGGGTAACCTTGCTGTGCATCTCCCTCAGAAGACCAGCCAGCCTGAATACAATTCCTGTAGCTTGCTCTGTCTGACAAACCAAACTCACATCTTAAGTTCATGCGCACAGATGCTCCCTGTCCAAAGAGAAGCAGCTCTTTGGCAGAGCAGAGCAGGACTTCAGGGTTGTCCTTGCTTGAAGAACCAGGGGGTTTCCTCCCGCACAGCACTGCCTTCTCACCGCGCTGTGAGGGGTGGGAGTTTGGCTGGCTGGGGTTCCCCTGTCAGGGCTCCAGTACTGGCACAACCGTGCCTTGGCACTGCGGTGTGATTTTGCCACACGCACGTGACCTTTCAAAACTCTGTCCCCGGGTAGTGTGATACAGGAGGTGTTTTGACTGTGAATCCGCATGCAGAATTCAAGGCTCATTTTCCCCTCTTTTCTTGCCAAGTACCTATGAAAGCGGTGACCATGACCTCTGCTCTTTTTGGTTCCTCCAGATACTGCTGAAAGAGTACAACTTTGACAACAGGCACAAGCCCACCTTCACAGAAGAGGATATTCTCAACATCTTCCCTGTAGTGAAGCATGTAAACCCCAAAGCCTCAGATGCTTTCCACTTCTTCCAGAGCGGGCAAGCAAAGGTTCAGCAAGGTACAGACCCAACATGCCTCTGCCTCTTGAGGCGACTGCTGATAAAAGGAAGAGCAGGGTATGTGTGGCATTGCCCTCTGCCCTCCAGCAGTGTGCTCCCACCCACCCCGTTTTGGTAGAGAATCGTGGTCTCCAAGACCATCTGAAACACACACGCGCTATAACGTTACAATGATGAACAAGGGTGGATGCAGTGCAGCAGTTTCCTTCTAGGTTTTAGTCCTTACACAAGGCAGTGACCTACGGCTACGTATCCTGCTACTGTTTTCACTTTGTGGGCAACATGCTTCTCCAGTAGTGTTAGGGGTTATTTAAAAGACATACGTATGTGAATATAACTTTTTTCAGGTTTCTTGAAGGAGGGCTGCGAGCTCATCAATGAAGCCTTAAACTTGTTCAACAATGTGTATGGTGCTATGCATGTAGAAATCTGTGCCTGCCTGAGGCTGCTAGCTCGTCTCAATTATATCATGGGGGATTATTCAGAGGTAAGCACGGGCTCAGAGAGGGTCTCTGTAGTCCTCTCATTCCTTCCCCATGCTTGCTTGCTCAAGTGCACGGCACTGTGTGACTTGCTCTTGGGTCTTCTGTTCTGTTTAGGCCTTAAGTAATCAGCAGAAAGCGGTGCTAATGAGCGAGAGGGTCCTGGGTATTGAACATCCCAACACAATTCAAGAATACGTGAGTACAGGGTGCTGGGGGAGAAGCAGCACCTGTGTGTCCACCTGGAGTCTGTGAGCCTTAATTCGTGTCTGCATCTAGAAAACAGCTGCAGTTCTTCCTTCTGCCATGTTCTTACCAGAATCCTCCACTTCCATCATAAGTTTTGTATCTTAGGATTTTGTAAACCAAATAGCTAAGTGTTTGCATTGTAAGTGTCCTGCATGGTCAGTATTTATCCTACTTAGTTTAGAATTTGGGGGTTTTGTCTGCTGAATGTTTATTTATATTCATTAATTCTGCTGGCTTTTGCCCTGGGCTTATGTCAAGAATGAAGAAAGAGAAAGAATCCCCCCAAAGGAGCAATCAGAATATCATATACATACAGGTCAATTTTGAAATGTTCCTTGAGGTGTGTAAAAGAAACCGAAATGAAACACTTCAGTTTCCTCAGTACTGTGTCTTGCATGATACCTCAGTGGAGCTGTAAATTAGCCAGCAGACTTGGACTTCTCCGAGTGGTTGAAATCCTTTTTAACCATAAAGGAAGAGCTTTTTATTTGTGTGCAGCTGAGGAAAGGAGTAGAAAGGAGAGATTAGTTTGCTTTACAGAGTGGTAAGTAAAAGCCATTAATGCTGCATTACTACTTTTGTTATAGATGCACCTTGCTCTGTACTGCTTTGCAAACAGCCAGCTCTCTACAGCATTGAACTTACTGTACCGTGCACGCTACCTCATGCTGCTGGTATTTGGGGAGGAACACCCAGAAATGGCACTCTTAGATGTAAGTAATCTGTGAGAGTCTTCAAGTTTCTAATCTCCAAGAAACCTCTTGGCCTTTCAAATGCCCATAGTGCTGGCTATTTAAAATAAACATTTAGGCACTGTTTTTTCCTGCCTGGGTTACTACTAGTTAGTGCTGTTAGAAGGGGAAAAAAGGAGTTTGACTCTTTAGCTGGGAAGGTCAGCCTTCTGTGGCTGGAGCTCTGCGCTGGGCACTGGAGACGTGGGTTCAAGCGCTTGTAATCCTTGGGCAAATTCCTTAATTTTGCCTGTTCTTGTTGCCCTTGCATGACGTGGAGAGAGTTCCTTATCTCTCTTTTTGTCTGGCTTGTTTGGACTGAGCTCCCAAGGGGGCGAATGGTCTCCTGTCACGTGTTACGTGCTGCAGATATATCTGCTGGGGACTCGTGGCTGCTACAGCCTTGTCAACAGTGAAATACCTGTGTGGCCTTGGTATTTACGAAGCAATAAATGTGTAGTTTGAATTTGCTTTCTGAATGCCTACTTGACCTCTTTGTGCAGAACAACATTGGCTTGGTGCTCCACGGGGTTATGGAGTATGACCTGTCCCTCCGGTTCCTGGAGAATGCGCTGGCCATCAGCTCCAAGTATCACGGCTCCAAGTCTTTGAAAGTTGCACTAAGGTGAGGCAGGGTGGAGTGCTGGGCTGGGTTACCATGCTCTTAAAGAGTGAGTACATTCACCGTGCACTCATATGGGAGGGATCCGATGCGGCTGTGTCCAGCTGTATCCTGCTAAATTAGAGATTCGGTCTCATCCCAGCTGTCGGACTCCTTGGGACTGCTGGGCTGTGCAAGTCAAGGTCACGGTGCAGCATCCAAGTTTGTTGTCTCGAAAGACTGAGATCCCTTGTTCTTAAAGTTAATTGTGGGATCTGCTGTAATGCTGGTTGCCCCAAAAATCCATCAAGATGGCCCTGGTCCTTGTGGACTCTCGGTAAAGAACGTGTGTGAGAAGTGAGAGCAAGGCTAATGTAATTATACTGGGAGACTGGGATGATATGTAAACACTTGTATTTAATTGTTTCAGCCCTCAGGGAGCTATCTTTGAGAAGCATATAATTTGCTTTTGTCCTTTACCATAAAGGCTTGTATTTGAATAAAATACTGAGCAGCTTCCTTGTGTTTCCAAGGGAGCTGTGAGTGGTCGGCACCTTTAGGATCTGTCTTCAGGGCAGCATGCGTTGTCCTTGAATGCAAAACTGGCTCACTATCAACTAAGCAGTGGCCCGCTCCTAATTACTACTACCACATTGCAACCCATCTGTTCTTTGTCGGGGTGAAAATAAATCTTACTAAGCGCCCACAAGAGTCTGATTTGTCTTCCAGCAGTTGATGGATATGTGTTCTGCAGAAGGCATCTTGCCTTCCCTTAGTAGCACTGGGATGCTTGATGAGATTCATCACCTCCCACAGAGGAATGCTGCCTGAAACAGAAATCTTCTTTTTATTCCAGAAATACTAAGGAAGCAAAGTCCAAGCCAAGTCAGCTCTCCCAACTGGAGAGAGCCCAGGTGACCTGGGTCCCAGCTCCACCACTGTTTTGCTGGTTGTTTCTGTGCTGCAAGTTTTGAGTGGTTTTTTTTTTTTATACTTTTGGCTGTGAATAATCAAGTGATTCACACCTTTGCTTTCTAAGAAACTGGAAGACCATTTCTGAAGGCTAAGGGCTTATGGCTGCTTCCTTCTTCTCCAGTTACCAAACCTAGCCCCGAGAGGTTCCCATGGATGTGCTGTCTCCATTCAGTTCACTGCTGTGGCCTTCAGCTTTCCTGGGTGCAGGAGGAAAAAATCCCCAGTTCAGCTTTACTTCTGTAGGTCACTTCTCAGCATTTCAACAAAAATCCAGCCCAAGTCAGTGTAGTATATTAATCCCCAGATGGGGTGAGGAGAAGTGATATATATATAGAGAGATATAGATATATATACAGGGTGCTGTATTCGGAGTCCGGTATCCACCTCCTTTGACGCTGGTGTTAACTTCTGGCCTAAACATTGTTACGTTGCAGTCATGCCTGCTGTGGTGCAGAAATCTCTTTCTCATTGAAGTACCTCTAAACCTTTCTCTTTCCCTCAGCCACCACTTGGTAGCCCGAGTGTACGAGAGCAAAGCAGAATTCCGGTCAGCTCTGCAGCACGAGAAGGAAGGCTACACCATCTACAAAAACCAGGTAACAAGCGTGCTGCTAATCTGCGTCATACCACTCTCCTGCCAGAAACGAGTGGTACTGCAGAGCAGTGCCACAGCTTGGAACTCAGGCAGGACTTTCTTACAAAGGGCTCTCGGCAGATGCCAGGGCATCTTCTTTCTAGGGCCGGGGCAGAATTGCTGCCCTGTACAGTAATTGGCTGGGTTTTACGCCAAAAGTCTTTGAATAGCCTTCCTGCAAGGTCGTTCTTGCTGTATCCCTGTCACTGGATAGAAACTTCTGATGGTGGCATGGCCCCATGTTCTGGCAGGGCACTGAGAGCACTGGTCTGTTCTTTCTACTTTTTGCACCACCTGTCTTTTACGTACCAGACCTAAACTAGTTGGGTAGCTGAGGTGTTTCCTGGGCAATACCTGCTGCCTCTCACAGCCCTGGCTGATGCACAGCGAAACTTCTGCATCATCCGGGGTCTGCCTGAACACGTCCGCAGTTGTGTGCTGTGATTCAGCGCCGTCCCGCTGGCTGAAAGCACCAGTGGGGGGGATGCCGCTCGCCCTGCGAGCGTGCTCCTACTTGATGGAAATGTGTCATGTTGATAATAAGGCTCCTAGAGGAATTTTTGGGGTTTTTTTTGTTTGTTTTGAATGCCAAGGCAGGTGAAATCCAGTTCTGATGAGTTTCTGTAAGGATGTTGAGCTAGCAGAGACTAGGAGTGCACCCTGGTTTGGATCCTGTTCTGGTTTGTAATGTTGTACCTTCCTCCCCGCCCTTTCTGATTAGCTTGGAGAACACCACGAAAAGACCAAAGAGAGCTCTGAGTACTTGAAATACCTGACTCAGCAAGCAGTTGCTCTTCAACGCACAATGAACGAGATTTACAAGAACGGCTCCAATGCGAACATCGTGCCACTTAAGGTAACCTTATGCAATGAGAGCAATCGAGAGTACGTGCCATGAAGGCAGAGATTTGTATTTAGCTGCTCCTGAAGGACGCCGAGGGTACACGTGCAGGTGCTGCCGGTGCAGGAGGTGGTAACGGCTGTGCCAGCTGCAGACCCTGCATGGGCAGGAGGTCCCTGCAGAGGCTCAGATGGGCATAGCACACGTAACCAGTGCGGGCTGAGCATTTGTCCCCTCTGCGTCCCAATGGAACGGTTCTCGGCTCTGGCTCTTTCCTGAGCTCAGGCCGCTGAGTGCGTTGAGCTGAGTGCGTTGGCTGCTGAGCTGACTGCGTTGCAGGGCACCCAGGGAAATGGGTAAGGATGTGCTGGGCAGCTCGCAGCGTGGGAGCCTGGGACGCCTACGCGCGGACCTGCCCCTCCGCTGACTCACTGGCTGTAGGCAGGTTGCCTAATCCAAAAGTACTTCAGTTTCCTCATCCTAAAAAATGCTGTCATCTTGCACCAAGTGCTTTGTTCTCCTTCCAAGGATTTTGTGGCGTGGGGAGGCTGGGCAGCGCAGCAGAGCATGGGGGGCCTGCCTTGCCTTATGTGCAGCAGGAGCAGGTTGGCCCTCTTGGGCCAAACCCAGCTGCCTTCCCCTGCCTGCGCAGCTGGCGGATCACGGCAGCCCCTCGGTGGCACACCCAGGGGAGCACGCAGGAACGTGTGCGGTGGGCGCTCTGCCGTGCCCTGCGGCACTGCCTGCAGATGGCTGGGAGAGAGGCTTCCAGCGGCAGGGGCTGCCTCCCGGCAGGCAGCACAGAGCCCGATCGTGCTCTGGGAGTGGCTGGGTTTTCTTCTCGCTGCAGAGAACTGGGTATGGAACGGAGGAGTTTATGGCAGAGTAATCTGAGCATACGGACCCTGAGTAAATGGTCAGGTCCAGGAAATAGCATCCAATGAAGAGGCTCAAACCCATAAAACAGTAATGAAGACTTTACCCTTGTTAAAAAAAGCCAAGGCATTTTGAACTCGCATATACACTGCCTTTACCTGAATGCCCGCAGAGTTTGGAGGGCAGGTTGCCCACAGTGACGAGGGGTCTCTAGATGCTGCTTTTCAACATAGGGGTATGAAGAGGTAGAAAATATAAATAATGCCACCTTACAGCTACCAGAGAGTCATATGGGACCTAGCTTTTCCTCAGCTGTTGGTAAATGGTGTCTGGATTTGCTTAGGAGCTCTGAGCTGTTCTGTCTGGGTTTTGACTTTTTTTTTTTTTTCCCCCCCCTCTTAACGCTGTAGTTCACAGCTCCCAGTATGGCCAGTGTCCTGGAGCAGCTCAACATTATCAATGGAATTCTCTTCATTCCACTAAGGTAGAGTGATACCTCTGCGTGTTGTCCCTTTAGAAATCAAGCAGTCTCTTTGTGTAAACTTTGTTCCTGAGATAGCATAAATGCGGTGCTTCCCTCTGCATCAAGAGTCACTGACCCAAAACGTGGAGTTCCAGTGATCTTGGGTACCTTTTCTCTTCAGGCAGCACTAGGCGAATAATGGCAGAAATTGCCACTAACGCATAAAAAGCGCTTTTGAAGGCGCTGGGTCCCCTGAAGGCACTGCTGAACACGTGCAAGGGGATGCTCTGCGGCTCCCGGGCAATCCCTGGTGGCACTAAAAAAGCTCCTGCTTGGAGGAACGTTGCGCGAATGGTCAGGTGCCTCTTTTGGGACTGTACCCTTGTGCTCGTAGCAGCGATCTGACCTCACAAAACCTAAACCCCCAAACTGCTCCGTGAGGCTGGAGGAAATCCGGCAAGCTGCCTGGAGAATCGATGCACCGGTGGGCTCGCCTGCTGTTGTGTGACGTGCCCCGCGGCTCGCTGGGCAAGCGGCCAGCATCTCCCCTCGTCGCCTGTTCTCAGCCCGTCACCCCAGCAGCAGAGGGGCTCTGGCTGGGCCCTGCCTGCGGCGTGGGCGGTGGCTGAAGCACGGTCCCCGGTCTCTGCCCAGGGAGTGAAGCGGGCAGCGCTGCTCTTCCCCAGACAAGGCTGCTTAGCAGGGCAGTTGCTTTAGGTACATCTTGGAGGTATTCCTTCCCCAGCTCCACGGGATTTGTTTACAAAGAACATTAGCCGAGATTATACTACTAGCCCTGATTATCATCATCTTCAAGACCACTATGAACAGCAGGACTCTTAAATTTTTTTTCCTTGTTTATTATAAATTGTCTCTTAGGCTTTTAGTTGAAAATTTGATTGGGGTGGTGATGGAAAAAGATGACCTGAGCTGAGATTGCATTCTTCTAAGGCTAGGAACAATCACTGATGGTAAAAATTCCCCAGAAGCAGCTGGCAGCTGCCTGGACATAGACAAGATTAACCTCACTGCTCCGCCCCGAGCGGCCACTGATGGGTCACATCCTGGTGCCCCTTGGTTCAAAACCAAATGGCAAAGCAAGCACCAAGCCTTGCTGAGGCACGGGACCTGGGGCCGGGCAGTAGGAGGCCAAGTGCTAGGAGCATTTCCCGTTTTGTTGAACGCTGCCTTGTCCCTGTGCTTCACGCTGTTCCTAAAGCTGGTCTAATGTTTGCTACCCTTCCTGGTTTCCCCTTCAGCCAAAAAGACTTGGAGAACCTTAAAGCAGAGGTGCAGCGACGCCAGCAGCTCCAGGAAAGCATAAAAAGTGGCGAACAGCTGGAACCAGAGGACAAAGCTGTGGAGGAGAAAGATGCTGAGCCAAGCATGCCTTCTGCTGAGATCCCCTTAACACAGAGCTCTGCTTAGTGTGTACCTCGCTTAAAAAAAAAAAAAAAAAAAAAGTTTAAACCACCCTTTTCTGAATCTGACCCAGGGTCTCGGACTCCCCTGGAGCAGTTCCTCCTTTTTTGACAATGTTATTGCACTGGTACAATTAATACACAATGCAAAGAACTAATCTGAGAAATGTAATCTGTCTGACTGAGCTTGTGTCTGCCACGCGAAGGGGGAAGGTGGCCAGGATGCAGCGGTGTACGAAAGACCCATCCTCGGTGAGCGCAGCCAGAGGCTGTCGTGCGTGTACGTGTTGTGTGTGTGCACATCTCATCAGTTATTTCTACTTTGTACATATGAATTCCAAATGAACTGTCTTGAGGTATGTGACATTTCTCAGGTCATTTTTATGTTGACTAAGGACACTGCTTTGCTAAGAGTACAAAACCAGCCCCATCCACTGCTCGGCGTTCTTGTAAACCGTGGATTCCAAGCCAAAAGATTTATTTTTTCCCCCCATCACTATCCCAGATTTGTGCTAAGGAAAAACTAAGCAGCCATATTTGTATTGCCTGTAACGTCTGTGTGCGTAAATGGGGGAATGTACAGCATTTTCTACATCAGGATATAGCCATTGGATTCCTTTAACCATTTTTTCTACTTTTGGTTGGCAGTTTGGCAATTCAGTGGGGTTTTGTAACATTCACATTCTAATTTTCAAGGTAAAGATATAGATAGAGAGAGAGATATATAGATAGAGATATATATATATGATACTCACAGTTCCACCTCTCTGCTCTGCTTGCAGCTGAGTAAGTTAGGATACTGTATCCAAAGAGTGAGGGCTTAATGTTTAAAAAAAAAGCGCACAAACTTCCATTACAATGGAAACCCCAGTGCCTAGGAGAGATTGATGATGGCATCACAGGAGGGCTGAACCCAAGTGAGTTAGCAGGGAATCGTGGCCCTATTAAAAGGGGGGGGGAGAGGGCAGGAAAAGGCAGCAATAGGGACTTAGTCTCATTTGCAATAGCAACTCTACCACAGCGCTGATGGACGTTAACCTGACAGGCAAGTCCAACCAGGCTGGAATCGTGCATTTCCCACAGCCTGGAATGACCAGGCTGGGGGCAGGGGAGAGGGTTTAAATCAAAACTAAAATTCCCACAGCACCGAAACCCATGGCCCGTACCTTCCTAGCTAACCTTTTTTTTTTTTGCACACTGGTTTCGAGATTGTTGCCAGGGGAGCTTCCATTGCCGGCAATGGATGTTACTGCAATGGCGGATGCCACCAAACAAAGCCCACGTGCCGTGGTGGGGGCCGGTGGCCGGTGCGCGCTCCCCTGGCCGTGCCGGTCGCAGTGCAGGTAAGATGCGGCGGCTGCAGGCCCTGCTGTGCCGACAGTCGAATGTCCTTCTTGCCGAGCAGCTCAAGCTGTAGAACAAGGGCTGCTTGCTAGGCCACAGCCACCCTGTGCTGAGAAAGGCGTCCAGGCTCTCGCACGCTGTCGCTCGTCGTCTGTCATGGATCGTACCCTGTGCTAATTCGCGTTGCTTTTACTGACCTTCTGGAGCAGAAGTGCTGTCCCTGTGCTCTGTACCCTTGGTCTCCTGTATCCGTTGCAGGGATTTGTAACTCTTGGGGGGGAAGGGGAGGAGGGGAGCAGCCTCCGAGTTGTGAGAGGTGACAAAGCAGGAGGAGTCTTTACTGCAAAAGAACTTGCTCCTATTAGAAAAATTCTGAATTTCCTGAAAAGCAATCAATAAATGACTACAGTGCATCTTTCCTACAAGATTTTTCTTTTACTAGTGTCTTTCAGTCCATTAAAAGCTTTTTAAACTATTTTAGGTACTTTATTTATTGGTTTCTTTACAGTTTGGTGCAAGGTGTTGGATACCATTAAGCTGAACCCTGTGACCGGAGCCACCACTTCTGTTCCTTTGAGCAGGAGCCAGGAGGAGACATGGGTACAGCTCAGCTGGGGGCTTTAAACCCTGTAACTGCGGCTGCCCCGCGGCCGGGTCAGTGCCGCATTAAGCGCGCCTGCCTGCAAACACTCGCTCCCTGCGTCAGTGCACGCTTTTCCCCGCTCGCTTTCCTTAGCGATGCTCGGGGCCGGGGCATGCTGGGTTGTTTCCGTGACCTCCCGCACAGCAGCAGCTCTCAGACCATTTGGGAAGGTGCTGTGCTCAGTTCACAAACCTGCGCAGGTTAAGGCTGCGCTGTGCGCCCTTTTCCTCTAACGAAGTGCCCCCGCCAACAAAGGAACTGACCCCAAAAGATCAGTAATAAAACCAGCGCCAGAATCGCTGCCACAGCAACCCCAACCCACGGGGAAGCGGGCACCACCCTCTCCTGGCAACAGAGGCTTCAGAATCCCTTTTGCCTCAAGCGAGGAGCTCCTGCGTCGCTCGGGGGGAGAAGGGGGTGAGGAGGGGCACAGGATTTCTGCAAACGTGTGAAATGAAGCTGAAGGATGCAAATCCTGGCTAATAAGGCTACACGGCTAAGCAGCCGGAACGCCATCCCTAGTTAAATAACTGCATTTAACAACAGACCTTCCGTAACTCGACCTCCTTCGGGGTTAGGGTGTTCTCGGGTGCCCCGTTCACAGGTTCTTGGACAAAAACGATGGTAGCAGAACGGACGCTCAGGTTCCCAGCCCCAGAGCAACCAAAGCCCACCTTTCCGCCTTCCCGGGCCCACTCAGGTCTGGCTCGGGCAGGGTTTAACACCCCGTGTCCGTCTGTCACGTAGAAGCACTGAACCTCAGCCGCTCCCGTAGCTGGCAGGTAACTGTACGCCACTGCCTGAGAAAGGTAACTGCAGCAAAATGAAGTTATTTCGGAGAAAGATGAAAACCATCAGCAATCCTGAAGGAGGCACATAGGAACACACTATTTTTATCCTCCTTGCTGTCTTTCCAGAGGGATTTCCAGCACTTAATTTCACCACACATAGCACATACAATAAAAGCTACAACTTAACTTTCAAGGAAAAGTCACCAGTTACACCTTCACTGCACGTAGCGGTTGTACTGTTCAGAGCAAAGCCTACTCAGCTACCTACAGTATCTTCCCACCAGCGACCAGAATTCCTGTATGTGCAATTCCATATTCAACCCTCTCTGCTGAAAAATGTTTTAATACCCATCAGTGCTATAGGGAAACTGGACCCAGCTGGTGGAAACCCAGCTCACACACACGAAGCTGCTCTCAGTAAGGCACTCGCTGCACAATCAACAAGTCACCAAGTTGAAGGGGAAAATTAAATTCTTCAGCTACCCAGCTTGCTCTTCGCAACTTACATTTTAATATCCCTTCTCTCTCCCTTCCGATAAGCTTCCCAAGTTCGCAAATATTTCAGCGGCTTTCCTTTCAAACCTGCAGCCCAACACTGCCTCTGGGCCCAACGCTCGGGGCACCACCTCAGCCAGGACCTCTGACACCCGCGTTGGCTCTGGCCGAGCGTGAAATTCCGTCGTTTCTCCCAAATTAAGTCAGTCTCCCCCAAAAGCCCACCCCAGGTCTGTTCCTGCTACTAAGCAAGCAGCAAGATGCTTACAGGGAGTGTGGCTGTAGGAGCTGTTTCCTTCTCTCCCCCACGCCATGGTCAAGGTCACATCCTTGCTCTCCCATCAGTGAAGACCTGCACATTTCCATTTTAGTTCACTGACCCAGTTAGAGCAGCACTCACAGCAATTAAGGCCAGATCACAGGAGAAAAAAAAACCCCCAACCAAACCAACAAACTAGACAGCAACTGAGAGACCCCGATCCGAGAGCAGAGCCTCCAAGCACATTCCCACGGAGCGCCTCCCGCACAGGGCTCCTGCCTGGGAAGCAGGGACAGGCTCCTCCCGCGCTCGGTCTCTCGGGGGATTCACCGCAGAGCGCAGCCTTCCGCCCCAACGGCTCCAAAAGAAATGGCGAAAGCTGGTTCTCGTTAGCTCTGCTGCGAAGCAAGGTTCAAGGTAAGGGACAACAACCCCCAAACACCCCCAAAACCGAAGCGAGCCACGGGAAACGCAGCACAGGGAGGGGAGCAGCGAGGAAGGAGCTCCCCTCACCCTCGCGCCGGGTGACCCACACGAGCAGCAGCCCCCGAAACAACGCTCTCCAGCCCCTATCCGAAACCGGCTTCATCAACACGCACGGGTTTTTTTAATAAAAAACCCCCTCACTTCACCATATTAGTCAATGCAACCTTTGACTACTCTAACCTTGACCAACAGCCTTAAAAATGCTTCACATCTCAGCTGAGCACAATTTAAATTAAAATCAGATAGAAGAAACAGCAGGTGTGGAGCACAATCTGAAGGGTGAAACACCAATAGCTTTTTTCAAAATAGTTTTAATTCTTGCATCCAAGGAAACAAAAACACATCTAGTTTTATATGCATTTAATAGTTTACCAATTGGTACAATAAGATTTTTTTTAATATGCAGAAAACATGAATAAATTTTGTTTTACACAGTCTGAGAGCAACAAATCTTACTGTAAAACACAGAGCAGTATTATATACATTCCTTTACTGATTTTTTTCTTTTTTTTTTTTTTTAAATTGTGTCAATAGCTTCAGTTAACTCCTACAGTCTGGGAACTGTTTTCTCCAATTGCAACCTCTAACATCGTTCTTATGAAAAAATTCAATGTTTGCCTTCATGTCAATGTCAGGATCAACTTCTAAAACTTGAAGATTTTGCTAACTTATCTTCAGAATGAACTTGGGGAAGCCTGAGGGATAGGTAGGACAAGAAAGCAGCTACTTACATGACACAGTGGAAAGATAAAAAGGCCAGTTAAATCCAGTTGTGACTTGTAAATCCAACCCAACCTTCCCCACTCCTAACATGTTTATCCCTACCATTTTATGCACGTATTCTTGCTAGAAGATTCTTGGTATTGACTTTTTTTTTTTAAATACACTGGACTTTATGTACAGCTGGACAGCAAATAACTCATTCTAAGTGTGTTTTTCCTTCACTCAACTCAGTATTTTTTTTTTTAATATTCAAATCATTAAAAGGATTATCAAGCCACCACTGTCTACAAAAACAAAGTATAATCTTTTTCTTTTAAATAGCTTTCACACGAGTCAAAAGCTATTTAAGAGTGATATTATCAGGCAGTTCACATAAAAACAGGAGGAGGCAAACAGGAGAAGCAGGGTACTGACAGTATAGGTAGACTGGGCCTGGTGAGTCTATAGCCAAAGCTTTCAAAATACTACAGTGCTCCACAGCCCTTGGACAACTTGCTAGCAACTAGATTTTTTTTTTTTTTTCTTTTTAATTAGTGCCCCGGGCACATCATTGGTCACACCATACACAAAAGCAGGACGGGTTTTTTTTTTTTAATCTTCTAAAGTGCAAGATGCTATAAAACATCAACTTCCAGATTATGTCTAAACCACAATAAACGTTGCACTTTTTAGAATGCATCTAAGACTTCCTGGGCACGTTACATTAGTGTGGCACTGGAATGTCTGTCTGGTTTTAAGCCAAAAAGTCTGTATTGTCTATTTGGTAACACAGTCTATTTATAGTTATTTTTTTAAGCGATGCCAATTTTAGTAAGGAAAGTGACAATGCAGCAGTGAACCTCTTAAACCCTCCGATAAATTTACTCTGTAATCCAAACCAGTAACCTCATTACTGTACTTATCACAGGAAAGGCACAGGATTAGCTGACAGAAAACATTGCAAACAGTGGAAAAAGTTCAACACAGTGTAGTATCACGGAGCGACACTGCAGGAAACCCTCACAAACCCAACTCCTGTGTTGCGGCTTTCACGTTTTTGTCTAAACAGGGCTTTAACTTTTGATCCGTTCGGGACCATCCCTGAGATTATTCACTGCTTATTAAAGGAGAAGGTTGCAAATGGCATTGCAGAAGTACTTAGCAGAGTGTTTTGCACGAGCAATTAAACGCTGCTTACGTGACTTCAGTTAGTCATTTGTCCTTGTAAATAGTTGTATGCTAAAGGGAAAAAATGCAGTAGACAACTTCCACTTAATAGGTACCTTTAATTTCTCATTCATGTTTATGAATTATGTACATGAGTGTGGTTTACTTTATACTTAAATAAAGTTTATAGGTCCTATCAGGAATTAAACAGATGTATTACTTTACAGTTGCAGATGCACTGAGGAATTTTAAGATGCATTACTTGTGTATCTGGAATTCTCGAATAGGACAAAAAGCAGCAAGTTTTTCCAGTCCAAGCAGCTAACAAACAAAAAAAATACTTTATTTGTGCATGCTTAACTGCAGAAACACACACTGAAAAATTACATAAACCACTGGATTTAAGAGATCAGCCTGAATCTTAAACTGGCTCCAAAAACCCCCCACATCAGAACTCCATTTCCTCCGCCCCTTCCCAGAGGCAGGTCTACACCAGGATCCAGTGCCGAAATCCATCTCCTGCGCACAGAAGAACGGATCCTTCTGTGGGTGACTGCAGGAAATTAACCACCACACCCCTCCCCATTTAGTGTGTACACCCTCCAGCCGACCCTACCGTGGTCCAGGATTCTCATTTTTAAAAGGGACAGTTTTAAAAGCCATGTATTAAACAAAATGCATAAAATAAACCACAAATTCACCTGTTAAAACATCAGACTGGTACTTCATTATACTGTAAATTTTAAAGTGGATTTTTAAAAAGACCTGGTTAGTTTGATAAGTATTGTCATTCTTAGTTATCTACAATGGAATTTGTCACAAAAATGCTGATTAAAATACTAATTTATAATATTTTCATTCACTTCAGATCAAAATATGTAACTTTAGGGATATGCAAATTAAAAATTGTATACACCAAACAACATAAATACTAATAACCAAGCTGGGCTAGTTTCCTGATAGGATTTGGTTTTAGATGTTTACTTGATAGCATCATTCCCACAGATAGACTTTGTTGATGGTGCTTTGTTTTTCTTGTAGAACTGTATCAATCTGTATCTGCCATTATAATCTGATTCTCAAGGTATTTTAGTGCTTTCTTTAAAGCATTTAGATACGGTATCCCAAGGTATTTCTCAATATGCAAACCGCAGTACATTTTTGTTCAAGCCACATTGTCTTGTCAAGATAAGTATAACCTCATTTTCAGAAGGGTTTCCAAGGAGGCACTAAAGAAACCAAGAACCCTTTGTATACCCCAACCTCCTGCAAGCGAGTAAGAGGGAAGTGTACTTCGATACTGTTGTGTAATAGGAATTGCACATCTCTAACAAACATCGAAAGCAAACAGCAAGTTGTACCATGGCAGTCATTTGGGAGATTAAGCTCTAGTGGAAATTAGATCACTAAATTCTAGTGGGATGGACAACTCCTCCTGGAAGTTTGTCTAGCATTAAAAAAAACCCCCAAAAAACAAACAAACAAAAAAAACCCCAACAACAAAAAAAACCCCCATTTAAACTTAGTTTAACAGCACAGCTTAACCACTGAATGACCAAATAAAAAATAAATACATTTATCACATCAGCTGCTACTAAGATTTGTTGTCTTATTTCAGGTTTACAGTTATATAAATATACCAACCCTTGCGTGATAGGAGGCCAAAACAAGTGTTTTCTGTTGATTTGGCAAATGTTTCATGACAAATATTCCAGAGTTTAATTAATTTCCATTAATTACATATAAGGTTCAGAAGATTCTGAATTGCAGCCTTATTATCTAGTATTCTTAGAGAAGATTTATTAAGCACACTTAAGTGATGTTACATAGATACACATCTCTGAAAGAGCCCTACAAAACTTTTCCCAAATGAGGTCACCAACTCAGGCACCAACAGACAGCAGAAAGAAAAACAGGTATAATTATCCGACATAGAACGACACTGTCAACTATTCAGTTAAGTGCCCTATTTCAATTATCCAACTTCTGCCTTCTTAGGTCTGATGTGACCAATGCCAGCCCATGTTCTTAAACCTATGGTACTCCTAGACAACGTATGTAAATTTACAGTATACGATTTGGATTCACCATGCATGAATACTTTGTGTGTAACATTTAATAAGCTCAATCTACATCCAGAATAATTTACATGAAAGGACAATATTTATTTAAACAGAGCTCAATGGGTAACCATGGTATCTGAGTGCATCCAGAGGAAAAAGGGGTCAAATGTGAACTCAATCAACGGCACTCCCACACTTTTACTGTTTGATCTACACTTCCAGTAACCACATACGGTGCCGTCTTGTGGAAATCTGCGAGGAAAGAAAAGCTTATGTTAAGAATGAATCCAAAACTTGAGTGTCTTCTGCTCTCACTGGATGTCATTACTTTTTCAAAAAAACGATACCAGCTCAAAGACTAAATTTCAAAGCTCGTCATGTCTGTAGTTCTGAAGGCAAATTGTCTCGTGCTATAATCTTGTAAAGCGTGAAAATCTACTTTCAGTTCAGTTATAAAGGAGCTTTCATGGAAATCCAGATAAAGTTATAACAGAGAGGAGTCCAAAACACCTCAAACTGATAGAACCCTTGAATACTACCAGAAGACAGAACTTCATGGATTTACGTAAGAGATATTCAAGAATCAGAAGTCAAGAAACTTGACTTTTTTTTTTTTTTTGCTGTGAGCTAGTATTTAAAAAACGTGAAGTGTACTGTTTCTCAGGAGATCCCAAAATATTTCACATATAAAAATCAATTTTGGACTGGGTCAGCAGACAGCACTGGGAAGTTTAACCAAGAGGAATCGAAAAGCCTCACTGTGCAGAAAAGGTTCGGCAAAGCAATCTGTAAATTGAAGCAGCCAATTCCAAGGTTAGCCAGCCATGCTAACAGTTTAATGTTCTTGAACTCATAACTTTTCTTTGCTCCTTCCTGATCAGCTGTCTTCAACAATTTAAGAGTGAAGTCAGAAACCCTGCATTTTGATTAGACCTGCAAGTTTGATTAGGAAACCTTAGCAGCCAGCTCCAGCTCCACTCCTACCTAACTTACACAGCTTTACTGAAGAAGCTATAAACTGCCAGAGGAATGCAGAGAAAAAAACAATAGAGAAGATTCCAGAGTAAACCTAGCTTTGTTGAACAGGGAGGGGCTTGTTTTGTTTTTGTCAGGGCAGGGCAGAACTAACACCTACCAAGATCTGGTAATACTAACCAGGAATTCAAAGTATATTTTTTTCCTGACCATTTTGCGCCCCCCCCCCTTTTTTTTTTCTTTTGGCTGGGCAAGCATTTGCAATACAGCACTCCCCAAATGCCTACACACTCAGTGGTGAAAAGTTCCAGAACACCCTGGCAGTTAATATCTTTATCCGGTGTGCAACGCTGGCAACACAAGTAGAAAAATCCAGCACACTCGAAATTCGTACCTGTCCTTATTTGATTAAAATACACATAGCACAAAAAAATCACTGGAATCCAAAACATGCATGTCTAGCTTGATGCCTCAACTTCAGCTGGTGAAGATGTAGAAAAATCTGTATCTCTGGCTCTGTACTTTGCAGTAAGCACTGTAGAACAATACATACCCAAAGAGGTAACAAAGTGTTCGTGCGCATTGAGGGTTTTCATGCATCGTTTGTTCTTGAAGTCCCAGACACGTAGAGTCTTGTCATCAGCACAGCTCAAAATAAATTTTCCCCCAGAATGGAACAGAACGCCACGTACCCAGTTATCATGGCCCACCTTGTGCATAAGGAGAAATCAGTGAGGAGGTGCATGTTTTAAGGCAAGACATTCTACAATTTATGATATGGCAAACTGAGTGACTCCTTGCCCTGTTGCTGCAAGGATAGCATTTAGCTTTCTAAAACCTATTAGAACTCAAAGTTTATCTTCAGTTTCTATTATTACATCTATATCAGCACTATCAACAATGCGAGTTCCTGTCCTTGAAGGGAAACAGAAGCCCTCACGTGATCTGCACTGATTCTGCTCCCCAGCCCCAGCACCAACACCCAGTCCAGCCTGAATACAGGCTGGAAAACAGCAATCCACAGCCTGCGGGAAGACCGACACATTGGAAGAACACATTTTACAGAAGACAAAATTCAGATGATTAGCAGCATTTCTGTAGACAAACCAAGCTACTCGTCACAAACTACACCACAATACTCCCGCATTTATACTATGTATTTTGAAATTCTTAGTATTTCTTAGCAATGACAAGATCTGAAATACAGGAGCCATTAAAACTGTACATTTCCAGTGTTTGTCTTATTTCAGTAACTCTGGCTTCTCTTGAGAACATAAACCTGTAAGATAATTCATTCCATTAAAACTGGTTTTACATATGCAGCTATGACCGCCAGAAAAACACCAATGAACTTACAAGTGTCATAAGGCACATGCCAGTGCTAATGTCCCACATCTTAATGGTCTTGTCTCTGGATCCAGACAGCAGAAAAGGCCCGGGCTTGCCACTCTTCTTAGTCTACAGAAAATTATGGTTTACGTTATGGAATATATGGGGTGGGCGGGTGGGGGGAGGGAGGAAGCAGATCCCTTCCAAGTGCTATTTCTTAGTAGCAAAATTAGATCTTATGACAGCTTACAGCTAATAAACACACAATGCCAAAGCCGAGTCTCGCAGGCATTTTGTTACTAATACTAGGAGAAAAACAAAAAATGAAAGGAATTAAACAATCTGTTAAAAGAAATGGTGGTATGTCCTGCCAATGCACCAAGCCAAATACTACTTTGAATCCACACGTGCCTACTGCAAGACGTCCTCTTTCAACAGTAGACACAGTTCAAGTAGAGTCACACACCTCAGGACAGGAGAGTATGAAGTTCAGACGTACCTTTCTGTTCTCATTCTTCATAAAAAGTAACGGAGCGAGTTTAAGAATTTTTGAAAAGTTCCTACTCTGAACCTATTTCTATTTGTGATCATGCAAAGTACGAAAGACAGACTTATTTCTCAGAAATGGAAATGTCTGAACTGCGAAGTTAACACCAGCTTGCCGCCTGCCCAGAGCCAGGCAGTGGGGTGCAGGCAGCTGATCAGACCAGCAGAGGGCAGGGGAGACACCACTTCAGACACCTACTGCCGCAAGAGGAAGGCAACATTTGGAATTTAGCTTTAATTACTTTTAATCAAAAGATTATAAGGGTCTTTTAAGGACACAAGTAAAATTTGACTGAAATAATCTGTAAAATCCATCACTCGACAAGCCCCTGTCTTCAGTGTGTCTACTTTTCCCCTTGGGTATTTGTGTCCTTTTTGAAGAAGAGGGCAAGGCAGAAATGCTTGGGGTTTTTTTTAACTAGAAATTGGAGTTAATTTCTAGTTCATTTCTTCTACACTTTGTCATCCTTAAAAGGAAATTTCTGCTGACCTTTAGTAAGCCTTTCTTGAGGATTTAGTAACCGAACCAGAGAAGATGTATCTGTGATCGCACAAATGGGGATTTATTTTTGTTAAAGAATACTTTCTCATATCATTAACTTTGTACACTAGGACGTGGCGGTCAAAGCTTAATTCCAGCGCAATATACCCAAGGCAGCTTCATTTCTACATTCCTGATTCACTACTTGCCCCCACACCTTTCAATTGCTGAGCATTCTTATAATCTTCACGTTATGCCAGATAAGCTCCCTTTCACATGTCTTTGCTGAAATATGTGAAAGTAGTCCCACTCTCAACCTTCTTGGAAACAGAGCATCTCACCAAAGTTCACTTTCATTAGTAGGGTCCTACTGTTAAAAAACACAAAAGCATGGATCCTATGAAGCCAAGATGGGGGATTAATAGTACACCGTGTATACTCGGCAAAAAATACTCATACACATCCTGTATCTGCCAAGCACTTGGAGAACAAAGCTTAGTTGTTCTAAATACTATGTGGTGAGTTCCATATAGAGCATAGTCACAGATCTCACTGTATGTGCTTATTTATTAGCATTGGAAACATTACCTCTGATCCTGTAGCTTCTGATATGGTGGAATACGAGCTCTCGGGAGCCCAGGAAATGCATTCTACCACGTGCTCATGTTCTCGGAGCTCAGCTTTGCATTCCTTTGTTGCTACCACCCAAACACGCACTGTCTGGTCATTTGAACAACTGGCAATTAAGGTGCCATCCTGGTTAGGCCGCACCATGCGCACCCATTCTCTGTGACCCGTGAAAGTCTTCACACAGTAACTATTCAAAAAAGAGAAATACAGCATGACTCAATTAACATTGCAATAAAACCATTACACATACCTTTGACATTTAAGGATGCTTGACCTACTCTTAGAAGTTAAGATACAATATTTTAGCATGCACGTGTCCATCCTGGATGATGATGTACAAGACCATAAAACAGTTCATGGATAGGAAGTTAACATGAGAAAGAAGTGACAGCTAAGAACTAGCAAAACCTTGTTAAGGTGGAAAGCAGGAAGCTTAGGGGGAAAAAACCCATGAAGTTGACATGACAGCTTGCATTAAACAAGTATTTTAATAACAAGTAGAGATTTACAGGTCATTCAGCTAGCCTTCACCTACAACTTTAGCAAATGGATAGATTAAACAGACAACTGATGTGTGAAACAATAAGGCAAAAAACCCCCAACCAACAACAAACACCGCCTCCCCTCCAAAAAAACCCCAAAGCAAACAAAAAACCAACCAAACCGAAAAATAAAAGCAGAGGAGACACCTTGATCTGTGTCAAGAAAGGTAATAGATTTCTCCTCCCTCCTCTCATGCTCCCTTTAAACTTGTGGTTTACCACTGACCCCACCTGGTCCTACATTATGGTGTTCTTCCCTCATAGCTCCCAGAAAGATAAATCCAGTTAGTTTTAATTAGTCACTACTAAATCCTAAAACCCTGCGCTTAATGATTTAAGGCAGAATCCTTAAGTGAATTACTCTAAAGGACACAATATCATACTTCAAATACAAATAATGTTTGCTGACATTCAAGATTTACGTGGCCCATTTCCTACAAACCGTGGTTTATGCTTGTTTTGTTTCGGTGCTGATGTTTAGCCAGAAGTGCACTTACCCTGTTTGGACTTCCCACATTTTGATAGTTTTATCCCTTGAGGCAGAAACTATATGATCTCCATTGGGCATGATGGCTACTGAAGAAACATTATGATCATGACCTAAAACCAAAATAAAACCTTTATTAAGTGGTACTGTAATAGTTTTTACAGAGCACATAGGGCTTCCTATTCATTTATCTTGGGCAAGTAGCTACAGCAGTACTGCACGTTTTATGGAATAATCTTTTAACTTGAGGTTTCATGAAACAGTAATTTATATTTTTAGAAACCACACAGTCCAGACATTGAGCACCCTTTTAAATGGTTTCAAAAATTTAAGATGTTTTAAAACCAGATTCTCACCACTGCAAGCAACACTTCTACACAGTTACAAAAGCTGGTTATTTAGAAGACAGAGCTACTATAGTGACTGTTTTTAAAATTATCAGTTAGATCCAATTACAGTATGCTGATGCTCTATGCAGAAGATGTTTAAAAGAACAGGTCTTCACTGAGAGGCATGCCAACCCTTACTGCAGCAGCTTAATGCTAGAAGACTCAATGTTTCCAGACACCTGATACTAGGTTTTAATAAAACACTGTACTGCACTGATTCAAGAACCAAGTAAGAACCAACTGTATATACACAACAGCAACTTCTACTGCTGTTGAGAGATCCAAGAGGAAGATAATAAATCAAGTCAGGAAACAGCATGCGGATCATTTCCTTAACACAAACCCCTTAGGACCTTGTGGATGTGGTTTCAGCTCTTGACTTTACTCATCCCACAAGCAATGGTACATAACATATAAAGGGAGATAACACACTCTGTAAAGACTATTCATTTCCAGTATTACAAAAAATTGAACTTAAACTTCCCAAAGTGGCAAACATTAGAATTAACTGTTTTGAAATTTTAGTATTATCCAGAACAAGCTGTTGGGTAGGGGTTTTTTTGACAAGTCCAGTGTACAAGCTTGCCTATAGCAGTTTTTATATAATTCATGCACTTGTCTTACTTAAACTCTGCAATTGTGTCTACCTAAATTGTCAGGATTAGAAATGAATCTTCTGAGATGAGTAGTTTAGGGTATATACAATTTCTGAATAGATTAGAGGCATTAAACAGCTTCCTTTTTTTCATCTGGAGATCTGATGTTCTTTTTTCCAAAAAGTTATAGCCAGTATGTTCACTAGTAAGTTGCTTTTTTTATTTTATTGGCAGCTACACTGCATGTTGCAAGCCATGTACCTATGATATACAACTTCGTATTTTCATTTCCCTTTTTTTGCACTAAGAATTGGTGAACTCCTACTAAAAAGCAATCACACCAGTGATCAAGTATCTGAAGTGCCAGATAATACTAGCTTCAGTGCAAGTATGATACTTTTTAACTCCTTACTGAAAAGATTATTTCTTTTTACTTGAAATTGAGTTGAAGGGACATAACTGGCAACACACGTGAAGCTGCTTCACCCACACTCATGTTACAACATACAGTTCATAAAAACACACGTTCGTATAGAAATCTTCAAAGACAAAAAAAAAAAAACCTGTAGCACTACTTTATTTTCTTGCTATCACCCAGCCACGTCTGTTCTTCCTCTACAATAGGAAGAACATTGTGGTGTTTAAAGAACTGTATGCACAACAGTCAACAGCGTTCTGTTTTCTTTGGTATATATACATGTGTGTTTATTTTCCTACATCTCAAACATTCTCTATTCCTACTTACCATTTCTGCATGAAGATACTAAAAGCAAGACAAGCAGCAGTATAAAAATGCTTTTACATCAAGACCGTAAAAAAAAAATAGTTGCTGTCAGTATTAGAATCTTATAGTTGTGGTTGTTTTGCTTTCCCATTTTTTCCTATGGCTTCTGAACCTAATGCAAAGGGCACACTTCTTTGAAATCAGACAAACATGAAAGCAGAAGACTGCACAGTATATACAGAACACCTTTCACACTAATAGCTTCCTTCCTGAAGCAGTACATCAGGGAAATAGAGGGGTGAAGAAGGTGGTAATCTTTTACTGATTTGAAGGCACAGTTTTATTGTCTAGTAAGCATTTAATTTTTGGTGCTAAACCCTTCTAAACTGCCACTTCCTTTCAATATCACTATGGGACGCTTCCCACAGCATCATGCATAGCAGATCTGAGATGCTATTTCATTCCACAGACACTAAAGATATACCTTATTTACAGAGTACTCAAAGCATCCAAAATATCCCCCCCTCTTGCTTTTGGACAATACTCTGGTTTATAACCCCTTTCCACATCAGCAGTTTTCCTGGATTTAAAAAAAAAAACCCAAAACAAAACAACAAAACACACAAACCTTTTCACTTTACAGACTAAATCAATTCCCTTTATACCTTACCATGCATAGTTCTGATGCACTCAAAGCCCTGGAAATCCCATAGCTTAATGGTCATATCAGCAGAACAGGAGGCCAATAGTTTGCCAGTGTGGTCAAAGGAAATATCTTGCACAGAGTCTGTATGCCCCTTAAGGGTTCGTTCAAAGTCTCCTGTCTCATAATCCCACACCTGACAAGTGAACAGAAAATCTGTTAACAGCAACCTATCACTCTTTGTATTCTCCAGCCTTACATCTGCACTCTGCAGGACAGTCTGGCACCTTCTTCAATAATTAATTGAGCAAGAGACAAAGTAAGACAGCCCTAAAAAGCCTAACAGCATATAAAAATAAGCATTTTTTTTTAATACGATTTTGTTACTTATAGATTAACTGAATTCATGCATCTTGAAAACTGTTTTTCAGCTAACTTAAAGCATTATAAACACAGCAGGAAAATAAGTTCCATCGTATCTAAAAGTCTTAACACCCAATACCCTTAAAAATAAAGAAGATCAATTTACAAAACATTGGACAGAACGAATCCACTTTGTACAGATTGTTTTGCTCCATCCCTTTGTATGCTAGTTCCCTAACTCCAGCAATACAGCTCATTTTCAGTTGGTGGGGAAAGCATCATCTTTAACATTCCCAAGCGTTACTGTGGCTCCAGAATTTACTTGCTGCTTCACAACAAACAGCAAACACTCTGCATACTAAAGAGCAATATTTAGAATGCATTGGTTTAGGAATGATATCCAAACCCCTCTGAAGAGTTTGATATGCACACATTAGTAGATTACAAAACTTGTCAGAGATTAAATAAACGTTTGCAGTTAATAACTGCAAGATAGCATGAAGTCCCCATTCTCACCTCCTAATTAAGTCAGTCTTCTATCATCTAACCACAAACAAAAGCCTTTGAAACAAAACGAGCTCCTACAGATTTTATTGTGTGTGTCTCAAGCACAAAATTAGGTATTTCACTTTAAATTATATCCTTAAAAAAAAAGCCAACAAAAAACCACACCAAAACACAACCAACAACAAAAAAATCCATCGTCCCAATAGATTGCAAACATTGGGAATGCAAGAGTCAGAAATTAAGCTATACAGCCTGACTTCAAGAATAAGGAAATTCATCCAGTGTATCCATAACAGGGAGCAAAACCAAAGCTAATTAGGCTCCTCTAGAACATCTAACAAACACAGAGCTGTCACTGTTTCAGCTGGCCCTGTCTGCTTGAAGAAAACAACAAAACAAAACAAAAAACCCCCAGTCCTTTATGTTAAGTCTGCTGCAGAAACAAGAACAGGTTAAAGCTTTTCATGAACTAGATACAGCTGACACTTGTTATTTTAATGTTCTCCAACAGGTAGCCACTACTAGGACAACCTGCATTTTTAAGCACATTGTTTAACACACTACTCAACAGTTTTCAGAACAGCATTTTTCCAAATAGTTTTCAAATCAGCATAGAAGAGAACAATGAGAAGTATCCGTTATTGGGATAATTCCCTTAAACTGTGACGTTCAAACAACAACAAAATGCACAATCATGTCTTTATTGGATGCCAAAATGAGAAACTACTTGCCTACTAAAACAAATCTCTTCAAGCCAGCGTACGCTGTGATAAAGGCCCATGAAGACCATATGAAGTTACTGAAAGTCACAGGGACTTCATGGGCCTTGCACATCCCATTTAGAATAAATGGGAAGAACTAATTTTCAGTTAAGAATGCAGCTGCATAACCACTTCAACCCAGCTTTAAAAATAATCACTTCAGGTAACTCGAGGCAACTGTCTTCCTCCCTCTCATCACATCACTTCCCTGTACACTGTGCCACTCCTCATCTACCAAACAGTCAAAATGCATTCTTCCCCCACCGATCCTTTATCTGTTTCTCCAGCCTCTAACTCCACACTAGCTTAATCATTTTTTCCTCAAGTCAAAGGATAGTAAAACACCCTTTAAGATATTAATTTGGCCAGCATAAAACTAATAATTCACAGATTACACAGGACATCATACTTGAAAGAACTGTTCCTACTGAAGCTAAAGCAGAATCTGAAACAATCTTCCATGAGTACAATGCACATCCAGCTTGAAGTAGTGGTGTTACCTATCATACATCCTCTGACTTGCTTAATTTAATTTTCTGTAGCAAACACCTACCTTTATTGTGGCATCCTCTGAAGCAGAGACCATAACACTGAAAACTGGATGGAAAATTACTCGAGTGACAGGACTCCTGTGTCCACTCAACGCATACTTCTCTGGAGGACGAGGAATCCACTCTTTAGGGTCTCGTTTCTGACCAAGAGGACCACCTGATGTAAATTCTTCCTTAGCTTCATTCAGCTTCGATTCTAATTCCATTACCTAAGTTCATGAATTTTAAAGAAACCAATCATTTCTAGTTGTATACCAAGATTCACCTTCACTCATTAATAATCCAAACACCAACTAGCTCCCAAACTCACAGTAAAGCCAAGATTGCATGGATCCAAACTGATTACCAAGATTCAAGTGTTGGTATTTCTAAAAATCCTAAGACACCTAAATTAATAATTTATCGTTTATTCTTTAATAATTTAATCATTAATCATTTATTCTTCTCCAACTTCCCAAATATTTTGAGAGGAAAAAAGAAAGTTCTACAAAATCACATTCACTCAAATACTGTACAAATAGTTTAAGCTACTATTTTAACAAACTATTGAAGGAGGTTGTGTTAACAAAAAGGAATGCTACTACTCCAATAATTTTTTGTATCCCTGAGATGGCATGCATGTTAACCAACAGCAGAGAAACTGAAGGTGCAGGAAAACCCTGGATATATTAACCTTTACAATAGATAGGTCTTTATTGTTAGCACACTGTGGGGTTTTGTTTTGGTTTTGTGGGGGTTTTTTTGGGTTTTTTTTTTTAAAGCTTTTACTACACTCTAGATCCATTGAAGCATTACTAAAAAGAGTTTTGTACTGTCCACTCGCAGTAAAATCACTTGCTCTAATGCACTGGAGTTAATGGTTTCTTCCCTTTAACGTAATGGCCAAAGACAACTGGCAGCACAGGTTTTTACCTTCTTTCTAAACCAGTTAAGCCTTCTGGAGACAGCTATTCAATCTTTCCACTCAAACTGCCTTAAGGCACCTCTTTCATTTCTAGCTTCAGAAATTGCACATGCAATGCATAAACTGAAGTCAAGAAATTTTTTATAAAGAAACCAAGAGGATGTCTGTGTTAGCACTGAGATAGAGAAAACCTTTTCTACAACGTGGATTTAGCTATTTTCCCTTCTCAAGTCCTCAAAATTCATCTTTGAAGCATCATTTTCTAAACCTTGCATTTGTCTGACAAGGGAAATATGTAACATTCTGTTCAGTGATGAATGTTTGATTTCAGTCATAACTTTTTATACAAGTAAATCCATCAGATCTCTACTTACCTTCTTCTGTAATCTTATAACAGATGTCCATTTTTTTTCCAGAAGTCCAGCATACTTCTTATCTAACTCTTCATTCTGAGAAGCATTTAAAATTTATTTAAATAATAAATTCTAGTTCTAAAGCCTGTAGAAGTGTTTCTTCAAAAGCAACATAAACAGCTCATTTTAATACTATCTCTTGACCACAGAAAGAGGAATTCAAGCAGACTAATCAGTTTTACTAGTTAAAACAGAACAACCATGCTTCAAATTTTAATAGCTACAATTTACATACACAGAAAAGAGAAACATTTTAAAATACAATTTTTAATTAAAAATATTGCAGCAGTACAGATTAATGATGCTAGATTCTGCAAATAAAATCCAAAAACTAGGACTAAACTGTTACCTATGCTGTTTTCTGTCTTCATTACTTGAGAGATTTTTAAGTGCTCTGCATATCTGAGAACGTTGTGGCGTATTTTGTTACAGGATTCCCCCCATCCCCCTGCCCAACTAACTCTGACTAAAAACCAACAGCAGACAGCATGCATTGACTGCAAGGACCAAGACAGACAGAACTGGTAATTAGTTTCTCAACCACAGCCTCCTTTTTCATATCCACCAACTAGAGCATTAGGAACTAAAGAACTCCTACCTTCAGAGTTAAGACTGCGCTAGCACTATGACTTGTTAGCACAATGTGCTTTTTCTCTCATGGAAGCACACGCTGTTTGAAAGTGGCAGCCAGCTGTCAGAGTAGGATTACACATATTCCATCTCATTTGAAAACCAGTTAGCCCAAACTAACACTGGCTTTTTTTTGTTTGGTTGGTTGTTTTTTTTAAAAACTTGATTATAGTGAACCTCAAATTACCACCATAATATTGCATTATTTTGTACTACCTTGTCAAAGACAAGCTTTAAGTACGCTCTCCCTGCATCTTTACTTCAGTAAGCGAAGCAGAAAGCAGACTACTATACCTGCCCTACTGAACACCACCTCAGCTACTGGAGAAATCAACACTGATTTTACAACTCTAATGAAACTTTAATGAAGAATAATTTTTCTTCCACTAAGTATTTTTCTCCTTTGGACTCTAAGGAATAGCTGAGGAGCAACAATGAACAGCTGATGTTATTGTAAAAGCCAGAGGATTACTCTTCCTTTTTTTCCTCCCACCTATTAACACCAGAAAGAGGAAGAAAAGCAACACAGGAAAACAAACAACATCAGAGACACAGAAGAGTAATTAAATGCTGCACACTTTCTTTCCATGTACAAAATGACAGCCTCATGTTAGAATAATTCTAAATTAGATGGAGACAACAAAGGCATGGGGAAAATAACAATGCCATGGCTTACTCCATAAAAGCTCTGAGGACTGGCTACCTCGGTCAGAGACCAGATGTTAACCTACTACTTCAGGGGCATTTGTAAAAGCTGGCGTTATCTGCAGGAATAATCAATACAAAAAAATGAAATCCCTCTTTGCAGAGCCACACTTGAATCCTTCCAATTTACTGAAATAATGTCTGCTCTGGGTGGGTTTGGTTTTTTTTTTTTTTTTTGGTCATTTTAGCGTAGCCCCATCCAATTCAGGTTTTCTTGCAAGAAAGTCATGTGGAACTTTTAGCAACTGCATTTTCTATTTCCCTCAGGACCACCTAGCCTATTTAGATCGCCTTTTTAACCTTTGGGAAGAGAAAACTTAATTAGGTTGATAGATAAGACAGATAAGGGAATGGTATTAGGATTTTCAATTATAAGTATGATATTCAAATTTGCCATTTCTACTTATTTATTAGATAATTTCTCCAATCTGCTTCCAGTAAGTCAAACTTCAACCAAGCTTTTTGGAAAAAGAACAATGCAAGATTTGTAATAGAGAAAAGGCAAGGATTTATCAAGTCAGCACACAGAAGTTTATTACTCAATCCAGGTGTCTCCAGAGAAACTTAAACTCAGATGAAGTGCACACCTCCTATGCTAAGAAGTGGAATGTTTAAAAATTATACCAAGAATCATCTGTTACAAAGGCAAATCAACAGAATGAAGCTGCAAGAAATGACTGGTCTAAGTCACTAGCATTCATACAGTCGAACAAAACAGAGTTGCTTACCAGAGCTGATCAACTTATATTAACTACTTGGGCTTGCCCTCCTACTATACAGTTAACCAACCGGTATGCAACAGTTTCAGGCAATGATTTAACTACTGACCCAATTCCAATCACAAAACAGACTTCCACCATTTGCTCTATATGATAAAGGACAGGACAAAAGCAACCCTGTTTTGCCTTCCTGTTTCTTAAACATTCCCATGTGAAGTCAGCCTCCAAAGCTGCATAGTCTTACACCATTCTAAATCTGGTTACAAGAGAACAGTCTTCAGTTTTCTAATTTTGTATTGCAGAAGGGTTATGCTTGTATGCAGAATTCCGTGATAAGAATAAGCACAGTTAAGGAAATGAGTTACAGGGAGGGAAGGCGGGGATGGACACAACAGCAGGAAACAGAAATTAAATGTGTTAAAATTAGACACATTCTTCTGAATATTAAGCACAGAATAGTTCAGGTTGGAAAACACCTCTCAAGATTATGAAGTCCAAGCTCCCTGTTCAAAGCAAGGTCAGCTGGAACAGACTGCCCAGGGCTGTGTCCAGTGAGGTTCTGAATATCTCTAGGGACAGAGACTCCACAACCTCTTTGGGCAACCTATTCCAGTGTTCAATCACTCTCATGGTAAAAAAAAAAAAATGTTTTATATTATCATAGAGTCATAGAATGCTTTGGGTTGGAAGGGCCCTTCAGAGCCCACCCAGCCCAG